ACCACAGTGAATATTTCCTGCCCTTTTTGTAGTCTAGAGTTCCAATCATACATTTGTTGTCCCTTTTCGTGTCATCCCACGGGATTCTAATGTTTTCTTCATTTTCTTTATGTCTCATATCTAATTTTTCTTCTAGTATGTTTCCATTGAGTTTCTTATCTTCCAACTCCTTAATTCTCTGCACTCTCTCTTTTGTTCTACTTTTTTCACCTTCTATCTTGTTGGACACATCTGCTATTTTGGTCTTAATATTCTTGTTTGCATTTTCCTGTATTTCTTTTCTTTCCAGTACCATGTTGACCATGTTGGCATACGTTCTCTATGTTGTGATGATTTTTTAAACTTCTTGTTTCTCTTTATCTATAGTTTCAATTCTTTCTTCCATCTTTTGAATTTTGTTCCATAGTTGCGTAAGTTCCTCCTCATCAATATATTTCTTCTGGCTCCATGTCTCTGGAGTGTTTGCTTTGTTGGTTGTTTTCATTGTTTCTTTGATCATTTGCACCTTCTTCTATAGCTGCTCAAATAACTCTTCATCAATATACTTCTTCTGGTTCTCTATCTCTCTGGTATTCTCTTTATTTGTGGCTTTCCTTGTTTCGTCCACCATTTGACCCTTCTTTTTACGTTGTTTGAATGTCTCTATATCAGCATATATCATCTGCCTTCTTGACTCTGGGGTATTTATTGTGTCTGCAATATTCTTTGCTCTTTTTTGGAGAAGACTTAATTTGTTTTCTCACAGTGTAGCTGACTGCTGCTTTCTCGATATTATGGGAAGTTCTTCTTGAGAAGCATTAGGCCATTTCTATCGTGTTTACATTACTTGTTAGTAATTTTTATCTTTATGGTGGTATTGATTAGTTACCAGTTATCATGGGAGTACGGAATGAGGGTTGCAAAGTGGATTATATTTGGGGTGGGGTGGGGGTGGGGCGTGTGTGTGTGTGGGGGATTGTGTTCCAATGAGGGAGTTTTGCTTTTCAAGGAGAGGAGCAAGCGGGGGGGGGGGGGGGGGGGGGGGTTTGTGCGGGGAGAAGAGTGCGACAATGAATGAATGGAATTCCAAAATCTCTGTAGATGTTCATTGAAATGAAAAATAAATAAATTAATTAAAAAATAAATAAATTTTATTTTAATACTTTAAACAATATCCAATCTATATGGATAGGCACTGACTCTATTCGAAGTCCTTTCTGGGAAATTTGCCTTTCCTAAGGACCTTCTGATTCTCTCTCTTCTGCACAGCAGCCCTCCATGAATTTTGCCTTCATGTGGTCCCCTGTCCCAAACTCTGCTGCTCTCCTTTGTCTGTAGAGTGGATGAGTGGTATAAGACCAGGTCCTCCACTTGAGTAGTTTGTGTCTAGGAAGGTTTCAAGTCAGCTCTCTTTTTTGCAGCTCAATGGGCCAGTTGAGCAAGATGAAGAAAAAAAAATCCTTATCTTGTTTGTGGCTCTGTGTCCCAAATTCTGTTGTCCTGTTTGGTCCGTAGGATGGCCCTGGCCTGCCATGGAGGCAAGGATCCCAAATGGAGGGACTTATTCCTGAGGAAGTTTTAGTCCCATCTCCCCACAAGCACTGTCACAAAACTGAGTGACAGTTTCTTACCTCCTGTGTTTTCTCTCCTGAAGCTTAATGTCTTTCTTTGTCTCTGGGTGGCAAGACATCAGTGCCACCAACTTACACAGTTTGTATGCAGGGGAGTCTCAAGTAACATGAAATGAGGACAGATGATGTGTGGCGTGGATGGAAGACCACTCCAGCTTCTTTTGATGTTCCCTGGATCATTCAAGATTTTGCCCATAGCATCCCTCAGTATTACAACTTGAGGCTTGCATTTGTTTTTCAATTACTTCAGCTTGAGAAATGCTGAGTGAGTTCTAAAGGAGGGGAAAATCCTCAACCAGTTGGGCTGATACAGTGACTGCAGCAATAGGCTTGAGTGTGTCAAAGTTTGTGAGGATAGCACAGGATAGTAGAAAGTTCATAAAATTTGGTTTGTTGAAAATGTTCATAAAGTAGCTGTGAGTCGTGCTTGACTCAACAGCAACTAACAACAACTGAAAGAAAAGCTGCAACACAAGCTGACATACTCATATTCATGTTTATTGCAGCTTGTTTTTTTTTCCAAAGAATTTGACACAATCCAAGTGCCCATTAACAGAGAGATGACTAATGAAACTGTGGCATATTGTGCATCAGTAAAAATGATCAAGAATTTTTGAAATACCACTCAAAATGGATGAAACTAAAATAAATTATGCAGAATGGCATAAATCATTAACAAAAGGAGAATTATGGTATAAGATCACTAATATAAAAAGCTAAAGCAAGGTTAACACAGAGATAAAAAATCTATCTTGAAGGGTTAACAATGATGATAACGGTGGACAGGTAGGTCTAATAGCATCATTCTCATTCACTCACTCATTGCTCCAACTCATAGCTGACCCTCCACTGAGTTTCCAAGGCTGTAAATCACATGGGAAGACAGGCCATCTTTCTCTTGTCAAGCCACTGGTAGATTCAAATTGCAAGAAAGTAGGGCTTTGGAGTTAGCCCACCAATTCCTGGCAAATATATTGGATTACATTTTACTCGTTCACATTTCATGCAAACAATGACATAAAACATTGTTGTTGTGTTTTTGTTGCTCGGTGCCGTCATGTCAACAGCAACTCATAGTGAACCTATGAACAACAGATTTGAACTTTGCCCTATCTTGCATCATCATCATCATGATTCTTATATGTTCTGGCCCATTGCTGTTATCCCAGGGCCAATCCATCTTGTTAAGGGCATTCCTCCCTTTTCTTTCCTTGAACCTCTTCTTTTCCCACTATTATTCTTTCCTCATGGACTGGTTTATCCTGAAAATATGCTCAAAGTAAGTGAGACAAAAGTTCACCCTCTAGTTTGCCTCAAAGGAGCACTTTGGTCACATTTCCTTCAAGACAGAATTGGACTGCCAATATAAAATGAGGAGTCCATATTTCCATAAGGAATAGAAATGCCAAGGAATCCAATGAGTCTGTTTCATCTTTAAAACTCCAGCACATCAGCTGTAGAGAGACCCTCCGAAAGATTTAAAATCTTAGAGAAGGGCGGCAGAACATAGTAGACATGGCAATGCCCAGTGTTGGATAATACCCACCTCTCAGCTGCCTAGATTTGTTCCTAGATACAGATGAGAGCTCCCTCAGCCCTCCCCTGACTCAAGAAGGTGTTCTTCTAATGCCAAGGAGCAGGTATAAGACAGCCTAGCATACCTCACTCATTCATCTGGCCGACTTGATGTCATGTGCGGTAGAATCGCCACCTTTCACAGATAGCAAGACTGACTCTCACAGCAATGGGTCTGTAATAACTACTGGGCTTATTCTTACAGTTATGAGACTAATCACAATGTTAATTTCACCTATCATTTTATGTGCCAAGGGGAAAATTATGTTAAATGGTTATTCTGATGACAGAAGAATCAATGTCTTTGAATTGTGTTGTTGGTGAAGAGTATTGAATATCCCAAAGAATGGCAACAGAACAAACAAGTTTGTCTTGGGCAAGATGTAAACAATGTGCTCCTTAAAGGCAAGGATGGTGAAAAGGACATCATGCTACGAAAGGTGGAGGGTCAGCAAAGGAGGTGAAGACCTTCAAGTTTGATTGACACAGTAACTGTAATGGTGGACTCAACTCTTATCAGAGATGGTGAGGAGGATGGCACAGGACAGGCCAAAGTTCAGATCTGTTGTTCACTGGGTTACCATGAGTTGTACTTGACTAAATGGCACCTAACTACCACTCCTCACCACTGAACCAACTGGTAACATCAGGATGGATCATGAAGAGATTGAGATTGTTCACAGCTTCAGTTTGCTCGGCTCCACGGTCAACACTCTTGGCACCAGCAGTCAGGAAATCAAAAAACGTATTGCAATGGGAAAGTCTGCTGTTAGGGACCTCTCTAAAGTACTCAAGAGCAATGGTGTCTCTCTGGAAACTAAGGTGTGCCTGATACAGGCCATGGTCTTTGCAATCACTTGTTATGCATCAGAGAGTTGGACAATGACTAGGGAGGACAGAAGGAGAATTGGTGCCTTTGAGCTGTGGTGTTGGAGAATAGTATTGAATGTACCATGAACTGCCAAGAAAACAAACAGATTCCTCCTGGAGAGGGTTAAACCAGGCTGCTCTTTGGAGGCAAGGATTCTGGAGCTTTGTCTGACATACGGTGGGCATGTTGTAAGGAGGGACAGGTCCTTGGAGAGGGACATCATGCGTGGGAGGGTGGAGGGACGATGCAAGAGGGGAAGACCCTCTATGAGATGGATTGATTCAGTGACTGGGGTAATCGGGATGGGTGTGTCAGAGGCAGTGCGATTGGCACAGGATAGAGCAGGGTTTAGGGCTGTTGTACATAGGGTCGCTATGAGTCGCAAACGACTCGACGGCACATAACAACAACAACTACCACTACCACAAACAATGTTATCCTAAGTTCACAGACCAGTTCTTGTGATTGTGCTGTTAGAAAACATTTTCTTTCTCTTTTATACTTTTTTTTATGATGAGAGAAATGTGCTCTTATGTTTAAGGGGAAAAGTAGAGATGAGAAAGATTAAAATGTATTCCAATTTAAAAAAATCAATTTTTTCCTTTGGAGTGCACACACTTTTTGTAGTTTTCCCTGTGTTGAGATGTGTTATGGAAACATACCCTTTTACAAAAAATGGGCTGATACTGTACATATGGTTCTGCAAATTTTTTTATTAATATTTTACAAGGTACTATGAACATTTTTTCCATGCACATGGGTAGAAAAAAAATCCCTACTGAGACACAAAGGGCTGCAGTTGGGTCAAAGGCTGCTGGTAACAAGAGTGACACCTACAGCAAAGTATCAGCATAGGTTAAAGCACAGAGCCTGGCAGGTACCTGCCAGGGAAAGCAGGACTGGCACAATTCTCAGATGAGAATCAGAATTGAAAACCAAAGGCATTAAAGGTATGGAACATCTTCTAAGTTCTTCTGCCCTCTCCCTCCACCCCTCACTCCTCTAACTCCTCGCTGTCCCCTTGGGGGGAATGGATCCTGGACATCTCTTTGCATCCAATGAAAACCACCCATTTTCTGTTTTTTCCTTAGCTCCTCCTGACCCTTTGACATATCACCACACTCCCTCAGCATCTCCTCACTGCTCAAATGTCTTTCGCGTGAGTCCTCTGGATAGTCCCTGGGGGAATCCTCTGTCCCCCTGTCCGTTTTTCTTTTTGCTTTCCGGGGCACATAATCTTCAGCAGGGCGCTTTTTGGCAGCCCTCTCTGGCTCACCCTCTGGCTTTCCCTCAGGCTTCAGCTGGCCTTCACCTTGGGGTTCCCCCATGGTGGCCCCTGTCTCCCCCTGCTCCTCTTTCTTTCCCTTAGATTGTCCCTCATCACCTGGTTCTCCTCCATCATCTACCTTCCCTTCGGCTTCACGCTTTTCTTCCTCTTCTGATTTTCCTTTTTCTTCTGTGTTTACTTCATCTTTTGGCTTGCTCTCATTTTTCTGGTTTCCTTCGTCTCCTAGATTTCCTTCCTTTTCTTTGTAGAGGTTTTCCATGTTGAGATTACCCCTTCTTTGCCTGTCCTAGGAGACAAGGAAAATGAATAAGGCTTTAGGGGGTGAAATGAAGTTCTGAATAGTAACTTGCCTTTTCTTAGGGCTTTCTTGACCTTATCTCAACTTCTCGGTCCACTTTCTTTCACACTCCACATTACAGACAATCACTAGAGCCAATCTTGTGGAAATGTTTTCAAGTCCTTCTACCTGCCTTTAAGTGGAGTGCTCCCAGAACTGTGTAGGAGAAGTTTGGTCCCTAACCAGTGCTTCAGCCTTGGCTGTGCCCTTGCATTTTAGACTAGACATTCCCAACTTACACCAAACTGCAAGAATCCTGGGCAATTTCCTTCTTTTCTCCTTTGTCTAAAGATGAAAGCAGATAGAGTACAGATAGACTTCAACAATGGCCTAATCTGTTTTCAGGTCCCCTTTTGTATATCCATCAACAGTACTAAGGGAGAAAAATGTAAAATAACCTCTCTTGCCTCAGAAACTCACCGGAGGGTCAGGAATGAGTTGGTTCTGACTCCAAGACAGTGAGTTTTAGCTTTTTGAGTAGATTTTTCCTGGCTCTGCAGGAGAAAGATGGGCAATATCCTCCCGTGTGATTACAGCCTCAGAAACCTAATGGCCCGCTATGAATAGATTTTCATTCAAGGACAATGAAGTTTTAGAGTTTTGTATACTCAGGGAGCATCCACAATGTCATCGTTTTCTCTCCTTTCTTCTGCCTCCTCCCCTTTATCCTTACCACTTCCTCTTAGGGATCTGACAATGCAACAGAGACATTTGGAAGAGAAGCCCCAGGCAGGGCCTCTTCAACTGCTGTTCTGGCTTAAGCCACTCCTACTCCAGGGCTGGCAGTCCTCTTCTACTGACCTGTGGTGATATTTCAGGTCCTTCTTTTTCTTGCCTGGTGTGTTGCCCACAACCACAGACCTGAGGACCTGCAAACAGACAGGTGGTGAATGAGGAATTGAGAAATGGATGGCGGGCCCCTGGGACACTGGTTACTTCCAGATTTTTGTCCAAACTTTTCCACCTCATGCCACCCACTGCCCTCTCTCTTTTGCCTTCTTAGATTTCCTCCTCTCTAGCCCTTCCCTCATGCTCCCATTTTTCTAGGTAAAGCAGGAGGGCTGGAAAGCTTATTCTAAAGCATTTCTGTGTCTTTGAACTCGCCCTGGAAAAAAAAAAATGTCTACTCCATTATGATTTTAGGGCAGTGATGTTTGGAAGGCAGATCAGGTCATACTCAGGTCTCTACCTTCCAGCTCCTCATAAAATGTAGGATGGTAGAGCTCGCCAGAGACATGGCTGGAATGTCCACAGCAATACTGCCATCCTTGTTCCCTTCCCCCACTCACAGAATGTCTATATTTTCCAGTGATGCAATAGATTAATTATTCCCAAATCCAGGGAGAAAAAATTGATCCATGCTATCCTCTTTAAACCCTTCCTAGGTCAGAATTCAGTCCTGGTGCAAGTCCTTAGTCTCATGCCCTAACTGCCTTTTCTTGCAGCCTGTCCAACCCTCTCCCCCCGCAGCCCACGATTTCCGTGTCCAAAATGGACGTAGGGTGGGGAGGTGATGCTAGAAAGGCAGACCTGGACCGGGCGCAAGTTCGCTGTCCCCTGGCTCGGCCCTCCCCCGCCGCCCGCCAGCCCCTATCCAGCTGCTCCTCAGGCCCAACCCTGGGGACAGCCCCAACTCCTTCCTGCCGCTCGCACACACCTTATTACTTGCATCTAGGGGTGGGCGGTGGGGAAAGGGGTCGTCAAGAAGCCAGTTCTGAACCCACTATGCTCTTTTCCCTCTACTATCCGCACACAAGGGGTCCGCAGGCAGCGAAGGGTTTGAAGGCAACCCAGGGTCATGCCACCGCTGCCGCTTCCTCCTTCTCCTCTATTTTTATTTTCTACCGGAAGCTCACACTTTTCCAAGAGTATAAAAAATGGTATTCAGGCTACTTTCCCCCATCACTCACACAATTTTATGTGCCAAAATCAATGACGGGGAGTGGGATGGGTGAGGTAGGAGAGTGGTATCTGACAAGCCGACCTTGTAGTCTCGCCCCCGCCGCCCACTCCCACCCCTGGACTTCCTAGCTTGTACCTACCTGCAGGGCGATAGGGCAGTTGCCCCTTCTGCCCAACCCAGCTCGAAATCAGCTTTCCTTCACGAAACACGGAGCTGATACCTGGAGGAAAGGGACTTCTGCTCACGTCGGCTCCTGATCACGTGAGGGAAAACGTCAGCAGTGGGCTCGGGTCCCTAATTCCCCTCTTACCCGCAGAAACTGCGTCATGATCCAGCCGACCTTCTCCCTCACTATCCGCCCACCCTCCGGTCACTACCGCAGGAGGCCCTGTCACTCATTTTGTCTTTGCCAAAGCCAAAGCTCAAAAGTGGCCCCTTCTACCTGTAATATGTATCTGTCTTCTTGCGGTTAGAAGGGAGGAGTTACCTCTCCTCCAAGGTTTCCTAATCCTTGCTACATCCCTGAAGAATATTTTCTTTCTCTCTTTGCTCTGAAACCATCTACCCTCTCAATGTGCTTCTCCACTTGGCCGCTAGGTTAATTTTAGGAAGTCAGAATGTTGACACAAGCATTTAATTTTCTTCCTTTTTAAACATTTAATTCATTACCCTCAGAAGAGTTATTCTTATGAGCAAAACACTTTAATAGAGCTCTTTTCATTTGAAGAACGTGTTCATGGTAGGAAGGGGAGAATTAGAAAAAGAAATTTAAAAATTCCTACCTCAATATAACACATCAAAGTCCGTGATACTAATTTCTACATATAAAAAAGGATTAGATTGGCTAACTACAAAATATATTATAAAAAATTTCATAAATAGCTGTTTCTTGTCCTGTTTTATTAAAAACCCCAGTAAAATATCATAATACATTATGAAATTTTTCATAAATAGCTGTTTCTTCTCTTGTTCTATGGAAAATAAACAACAACCAAAACTCACATTTCTTTAATGTTTCCAAACCATGTTGGATGCTCTCTGGTGGCATAGTTTGTAGGGCGTTGTGCTGCAGCTGAATTGGTCCAGCAGAGTTCAAATCTACCAGCAGCTCTTAGGGAGAAAAGTCATTCTTTTCTTGTTGGGATTTACAGCCTCAGAAACACAGTGGAGTCAGAACTGTGAGTCAGAACTGACTCAACAGTAGCGAGTTTGAGTTTAAAATGTAGACCTTTTAGAATATCATGACTGCCAAATGTCAGTTTTGAAATTTTTTCTCATAGCTATGTTTCATATAAAAGTATAACTCTGGGCAAAAGGAAAAGCTGTGAGCCTGAGGCAGTTGAGAGCCTGGGGGCTGAGAAATGATCTGACTCCTTGTCCTATCAATAGATGGGGTAGATACTGATCCTCTCAATCCTCCCATATTCCAGAGCCTTCTCCCCTCCATTCAGGCACCTTGAATCTTTTGCTCACTCCAAAATTATGTATGGATAGGTGATCTAAGTCACCTTTTGTGCCTTCCTTCCCCAAATTCTCCAAGAGAGAATTCAGTTTCTGTATAGATGCTAGTGCTGTTGTCACCACTTAACCAAGGATAGGATTCCTCTCTGAACCCTCTAGTTTTGATTTGCCTTAAAGTCTGAAAAAGTAATTGCTGTGTGTGGCTATATGGGAAGACACACACACACACACACACACACACACACACACACACACACGACTGCCTTTATCTCCCCTTATATATAGTGCCCAGCTGGAAGCTTCTCTGGAACTGGTGAGCTACCTTGCACCTGGTTTAGGGGGTGCAGCCTGCTAAGTCTCTGACTTGGTTTTTCCACCTACAGGGCCCCTAGTAGGAGTTAGTTATGTTGCAGTATTGCTGCCTTCCTTTCCATGCCTATACTGTTGCCTTCTCACTCAGACTGAGAAACTCATGTGCAAGCAATACTGCTTGACCTAGAGAGATCATGCTTGGTTGAGTGTAGTTAGGGTGTAGTGGAATATGTATACTTTTTGGTGAAGAGAGTCTGTTATCTAGGAACCTGAGAAACCCTGACACACGAGTATGTTGACATGAGCAAGCAGAGGTTACAGGGTGGATATTTGAGAATGAGAAGGGGAGAGGAAAGAGACAAAAAGCAGCTGAAGAATGTAAAATGGAGAGCTCCTACACCTTGAGTAGATCCAGACATACTTAACTGAAGAAGTCTATTCAAATTAATGTACAAGTGTATGGGGGCGAGTTAGAATATGTATATTTTAGGAAATGAAATGTGTACATTTGGTGAGGGTAGGGTCTATTGCTCTCATTAGATGCTTAAAGGGGGTCTGTAATGTACTGAGGCATTTGCTGTAGAAGGCCAAGGGCTACAGTCTTCAATATGGATTGAAGATCGATATCAAGAAAACATAGATTCTTACCACTGGGCTGATTGGCAGTATCACGATAGACGGTGAAGAGATTGAGGTTGTTAACAACTTCAGTTTGCTTGGCTCCACAATCAGCACTCTTGGCACCAGCAGCCAGGAAATTAAAAGACAAATTTCATTGGGAAACTTGGCTAACAGGGACCACTCCAGAGTAGTGACTAGCAATGATGTCACTCTGGAGACTAAGGTGTGCCTGATACAGGCCATGGTTTTCATAATTACGTGCTGTGCATCAGAAAGTTGGACAATGACTAGGGATGATAGAAGGAAAGATGGTGCTTTTGAGCTGTGGTCCTGGAGAAGAGTACTGAATATACCATGGACTGCTAGGAGAACAAACAGGTTCATTCTGTAGAGAGTGAAAGCAGACTGCTCCTTGGAGGCAAGGATTGTGACATAATTATGTGACAATTATCTGACTTAATTGGAACATGTTGCAAGGTGGGATCAGTCCTTGGAGAAGGACATCTTGCTTGGGAAGGTGGAGAGACAGTGCAAGAGAGAAAGACCCTGGATGAGATGGATTGACTAGTGACTGGGGTAATGAGGGTAAGTGTGTCAAAGACAATAAGTTTGACTCAGGATATAGCAGGTTAGCAGGTTTCAGAGC